GAGACTAGAGCGAGGGCTACATGGTCTCCATACCTTTTCAATCTCTATGAAGAACAGATGATTTAGGATGCCAGGCTTTATGAGATGAAATGCGGCATCAGGATTGGAAGAAGACTCATCAACAACTTACATTATCCATATGATACAACCTTGCTTGCTGAAACTGAAGAGGGTCTGAAGAGTTTGCTGCAGAAAGTTATAGATTGTTGTCTTCGATATGGATTGAAGCTTGTTATCAAGAATCAAAAATTCTCACTATTGGGACAATTGGCAGTATCATAATAGATGGAGAAGAAACTGAGGTTATTAACAATTACAAATTGCTCAGCTCCACAATCAACACTCTTAGCACCAGAAGTCAAGAAATCAAAACACTAATTGCATTAGGTGAATGTATTGTCAGAAACCTCTCCTGAGTACTGATAAGCAATGATTTCTGCCTAGAGACTGAGGTGTGTGCCTGATCCAGGCCATAGTCTTTGCAATTACTTGCTATGCATCAGAATGCTGACCAATGACTAAGGATGACAGAAGAAGAATTGATGCCTTTGAGTTGTAGTGCTGGAAAAGAGTATTGAACTACCATGGACTGCCAAGAAAACAAATAGGTCTGTATTAGAGAGGGTGAAAACAAGTTTCTCCTTGAAGGCTAGGATTTTGAAACTCTGTCTCACCTATTTTGGGCATGTGGCCAGGAGGTACTAATCCTTAAAGAAGGACATCATGCTGAGAAGGGTGGAGGGACAGTGAAGGAGAGGAAGACCCTGGATGAGATGGATTGATACAGTAATTGGGGCAATGGGGTAGGTGTATCAAAATCAGTGAAACTAGTTCAGGACAGGGCAAGCTTCAGAGTTACTGTACATATGGTCGCTATGAGTCACAAATGACTCAACGCACATAACAACAACACAACTTACTCATTGCTGTGAGTCAGAATCAACTATAGCTAACCCTCCATTGTGTTTCTGAGGTTTTAAATTACATGAGAGGAGATTATCTTTATACCATGATGCCACTAGTGGATTTCAATCAAGGCTTTAACCTCTGGTTTAGCAGCACAGCTCCACAGGAGCTGTGTGATCAGAAGTTCCTAATGATTTTAAATGTTTATTTTAATCCCCTTAAATCCTTCTCGGTTTTCTCACTATCTTTTGTCTCTTAAATGTCATCCCAATTCTATGTAAACCATAATAATGTCAATTGCTTTAACATTGTTTTCTTAAAAACCTATTCTCCAAAAGAAAATCTTTTTTAAAAACTCCTTTTAAGTCAGAGACCATTTTTTTCTTTGTGATCTCAATTCCTAATATAATGTCTTCATAGTATATCTGTTCAATAAATGCTTGTTTAATGGAGTTGACAAAGATGGTATACTCAGAGGCCAATAAAATTAGATGAAGTGAAATACTCAAAAGAAGATAAAATAAGACATTAAGATCTTGTGTGTAAAATGTTGTTGCTGTGTACCTCAAATCAGAACTAACCCATAGCTGATCCTCTGGTGGGTTTTCAGAGGCAGTTAATCTCCCAAAATCTTTCTCCCACAAAGACACTAGTAAATCTGAACCACATGCCTTCAAGATTGCAGCACAGGTTCTTACCACTAGGACACCAGAGCCCCCTAAATTTTTGGATTGTAGAATTAAAGAGATTATGATTGTAAAAGGAGCAAGGGCCATATAAGGATGGCCATATCTGACCTCCAGTAATGCCACAAGAGAAAACTGCCACCAAAAACAACATCCATACCACAAAGCCATTTCCTATGAGGTTGGGTATATCCCCTACACTCCCATACCTCTTTTAATTAATTCCAATACCAATATCACTGCTCTGCTGGGTCTGAAATCTGTTATAATACCTGGCCGCACACACAGAATCATATTCACAATTATAGAGATTATCAGTCAAAATCTATTATTCAGGTGGATATAGGCACTCAGTCAGAACAGCCACTGAAATGTGCTCAAAGACTCCTCAAACTTCAACCTCATGGCTTTCTTAGTTCTGCCAGTTACTGGTTTCCAAGTCAGTCCTCCAACCAACGTGAGCAAAGGCTCCTGACTCTGGTTCCATGGGATAACTATTTCAAAGTCAGCTCTGTCTCACGCTTGGTCTCTGGTTCTCTGCTGTGGCTGCTGCACTTCTGCTCCTGTAGGCTCTGGTCTGAATGAGGCAGGATGTTTTGGCTCCTAAAGATGCACCCTCTGCACTTACAACTTCTTCTTTGGTAATGGTGAGATTCTCAAAACCTGCCCTTAAATCTGCTCAATTAGTGGTAAGATTAACCAATATCCTTGTGGATAAGCTAACTAACACACCTTATTCATGTATTCCCACCCACTCACATGGCAAAGTCAAACTCAATGGCTAGAAAAGCCATTTTGAGCAATAAACTTTTGGCATTGTAATGGTATTATTTGCTGAAATTAGTAGAATCAACAGAAAACTGTGTTCAAGGACAGGAGATTATAAATTTAGTTTCATTATACTGAAACTGTGGTGTCTTTGAGCAAATATAGTGGACATTTCCAACTACAAGTTTAAAGTAGATCTCAGAACAGAGAAAAGAGTTAACAATATCATAGTAATTTTTCTAGGGAGAAAGTGTAGGGGTAAGAAAATGAACACATTTTCTGAATAACAAAATAGTACATAATTTATATTATTTGTTGAGAAAGCGCAAAAAAAGTACACATAAATTCTTCTCATGACTAAGGAAATATCACTGTATTGTTGTTAGGTGCCATCAAGTCAAATGATTTATAGTGAGAGATCTAAACCCTGTCCTATCTTGTGCCAACCTCACAATCTCTTACAGCCTCAAGACTATTGATGTAGTCACTGTGTCAATCCACCTCGTTGAGGGTCTTCCTCTCTTTCACTACTACTACCTTCTTTAACCATTCTAAGTATGGTATCATTCTCCAAGGAATATTCTCTCCTAGCAACATGCCCAAAGTATGCAAGATGAAACATCGCCATCCTTTCCTCCAAAGAGCACTCTGGCTGCACTTTCTCCAAAATATATCTGTATAGTTAGTTACTAAGTGTTCATTTATTTTGTAAAATTCTAGCCAGTGGATAGAGAGCTGCTCTGCTAACCCAGGAGTAGGTGGTGTGGATAAACCAGCTATACCAGCTACTCTGCAGGAGAAAGATGAACAATCTCCTCCTGTGTAATATGTAGATTATGAAAAACCACTGGAGGGTCAGCTGAATCATTCTTGACTTGACAGCAGAGAATGAGTGAAGTGACTCCCACACACTGATAAGTAGATCCACTGGTATCAATAACTTAATGTTTCTTCAATAAACTAATGTTCAGTATTCATATTAAAAGTGAAATATTCAAAGCACAGTGACCAAAAGTTCCATAAAGATACTGTTGTTGTTGTTGTTGTTGTTGTTGTTGTTGTTATGTGCTGTCAGGTCGCTTGCGACTCATAGCGATCCTATATACAACAGCCCTAAACCCTGCTCTGTCCTGTGCCAATCGCACTGTCTCCGACACACCCACCCCGATTACCCCAGTCACTGAATCAATCCATCTCAGAGAGGGTCTTCCCCTTCTGCGCCATCCCTCCACCCTCCCAAGCATGATGTTCCTCTCCAAGGACCTCTCCCTCCTTACAACATGTCCAAAGTACGTCAGACAAAGCCTCAGAATCCTTGCCACCAAGGAGCAGCCTGGTCTAACCCTCTATTGCACCTTTGTGTAATCATCAAATGTAAATATTTTCATATCCACTCAAGTGAAATAGAGGACTTGCTCGACTAGATTCATTATCAGAATATAGTTTAACATAAAGCAAACTTTAATATATGTTTATTATTTCATTGGAGACTTTATATTTACTTCATAAAAGTATTCTTTTGTTTGTCACATACTCATCCAGGAATATTAATTAGACCTATAGCAATCATATGTGTCGAATAAGATAATCTGTAAAAGTTAATAGCATAATATCTCATACTCTAAGTACTTCGTATATCTTCTTTGAATGAACAAGTCAAAAAGGAATAAAGTAATGCATGTTACCTTTTATTTTAATCTCAGCATATTTCAATATTAATTAGAAAATAACAAAGATGAGTGAGGTAAAAATGTTAATATTGTTATACAGAGAATAAAGTACTATGCTGAAAATGATGTTGTCATTATGTACAGTCAGTTCAGAACTGACTCATAACTGACCTTCTGGAGGGTTTTCTGAGGCAATAAGTTGGGTAGGAGGTGATTTTCCACCTTTCTTTTGTGGAAGAGCTGGTGGATTTGATTCGCCTTTGGTTTGGCAGCATAGCACTTTACCACTAAGTCTCCGGTAAATTCCTATACAAATATATATAAATGTATTTGTACATATAGCTAAAATTAAAATTAAGATTTTATTCTGATGTTCCAAAATTTATTTCTCATCCAGGGTTCACGAGGACCCCAAGGTGATATTGGACCTCCTGGAGAAATAGGTGCTGAGGTAATTTTTTATGGCTCTTGTTAGTTTATCCATATGCAATACCTTTTAAAAAGACTTCTCTAAAGTTGTTTTGATAAACCAGATATATATTAAGAATAATTCTTTGTTGTTTTGTTTTAGATTGAGAAAATTAAGTTTAAACTCCTTTATTGGCAAAGATGACTGTTTTATGAACCTAATTTTACACATATGAAGTTCATACTTAGCTCAATGAAATTAAGCGAATAAGAGCCAAGTTATTATTTCTCTTTGGAGAATCAGGAATAGGAGGAAGATATGGAGTGAATAGATAACTATCTAAATTAATAACCATGAAAGCAGAACTGATCCTAATGAACTAAACCATTATTGAACATTTTGATCTAAAATTCTATGGAAGAATTCTGTAGAATATTGACCAAAAAGGGGGGAAATACTGGACAGAATTTCAAATCATCATAGACTCCAGCATTTCTGGAACCATGGAGTCAGAATTAAACCTGGAACTATTTCCCAAGGTTCCAAGGTTGTCTTTAAATCTTAAACCAGAAATAATTCCTGTCTTCTTCTTACAACCAACTTAACTAGCAAAGAATGTCTCCTTTTTGCACCGTACTTTTTCAGGATTTATTTATCTTGGACCAAATTGACAACAGCAACAGAAAAGATTATACAGGGGATTGAATGGTTGGGAATTTATATTAATAGATGAGAAAAATTAAGAAAAAGAAGATGCGAATCATTGTTCAACTTGAAGAGTATAATCAGTGTTACTAATTATCCATGTTGAACCAGATGAATTGGTGCCTAATTTTCTGGGTATGGTCTCAATAACACAAAAGAACATTTTTTAAAAACTTATTCTTCTTCACATGATTCCAAGGTGGTACAAAACCTTAAACACTGACTGTTTATTGATGTTGTTAACAGTTACAGCTTGCTCGGGTCCACAATCAACACTATTGGCACCAGCAGTCAGAAAGTAAAAAAAACGAATTGCATTAGGGAAATCTGCTGAGAAGCAATGATACCATTCCAGAGACTAAGGTGCACCTGATCCAGGCCATGGTCTTCACAATTACTTACTATGCATCAGAGAGCTGGACAATGATTAAGGATAACAGAAGAATTGAGTTGTAATGCTGGAGAAGAGTCTTGAATGTAACATGGATTGCTGAGAAAACAAATAGATCTGTTTTGGAGAAACCAAGTTTCTCTTTGGAGGCTAGGATTTTGAAGCTCCTTCTTACACACTGTGGGCATGTGGCCAGGAGGGACTGATCCTTGGAGAAGGACATTATATGAGGAAGGGTGATGGGATAGCACAGGAAAGGAAGACCCTGGATGAAATGGATTGATTCAGTGACTAGGATAATATGGGTAGATGTGTCAGAGACAGTGATATTGGCATAGGATAGAGCAGGGTTTAGGGCTTTTGTACATAGGGTCTCTGTGAGTGTCACAGGTAATTTAACGGCACATAACAACAACAACAAGAGGTAGGTGTGTTGGAGTCAATGAGCTTGGCTCAGGACAGGACAGGCTTCAGAGATATTGCATATAGGGTTGCTATGAGTCACCCATAACAACAACAACTACAACGAAAATATTTATACACTATTATTTTTGCTAAATAAGTCTGTATTTCAAAAACTTATTCTGGAAACTGGACTAGAATAAGAAGAATTTGGTATCAGGATTGAAGGAAGATTCATCAATAACCTGCATTATGCAGATGGCACAATCTTACTTGCTAAAAATTAAGAGGACTTGAAACAGTTGCTGTAGAAGATCAAAGACTACAACCTTCAGTATGGATTATATCCCAATATAAAAAAAATTAATATCCTCGCTAGTTAACCGATAGACAACATTATGATAGATGAAGCAAAGATTGAAGTTATCCACTATTTCATTTTACTTAGATCCGTGATCAATTTTCATGACAGCAGCAGTGAAGAGATCAAAACATGTTGCACTGGGGAAATCTATTGTTAAGGCCCTCTAAAGAACAAGGATATCAGTTTGAAGACTAAGGTGTGCTTGATCTACGCCATCATATTTTCAACTTCCTATGCATCTGAAAGTTGGAAAATGAATGGATATTGACAAATAATCAATAATTTTAAATTGTCATCTGACAATGAGTCTTGACTATCCCATGGATTGCCAAAAGAACTGTCTTGAAGAAAGTACAACCAAAGTGCTCCTTAAAAGCAAGGATGATAAAACTTCATCACATTTACTTTGGGCGTGATTTCAGGAGAAACCAGTCTTTAGGGAGACATATCAAGCTGAGAAAGGTAAAGGGTCAAAAAAGGGGAGGAAGACCCTCAACAAGATGGATTGACAAAGTGACTACCACAGAGGTTTGAGGATTATAGAGCTCTTGAGGATGACACTGGAGAGGGCAAGGTTCAGATTTGTTATTAATAGACTTTTTATGAGTAATAGTCAACTTGATGGTACCTGACACACCCAAAACACTTTGAATGAAAAGCCTGGCATTATGTGAAGCCAAATTTTATACCAAACATTATATGAAAACCCTTGCTCAGGAATTGAAGGAATTACAGATTTATAAATTAGGGTTTTCTCTTGTGGCAGATCCCAGAAAATGAGCTGTTTGTTCCCTGCAGACAGGAGACAGCTGGGGCCCCCCCTACAGAGGGAGTGTTACTTCCTGTGAAATACTTCCTGAGCTAGAGCTTCAGGTTGACAATAGAGAAAAATTCTGCTTCGTTTACAAGGAATTCCTTTTATTATTTGCTTCCCCAGATTACCAGTAAATACAGAGAAACCTGACTTGGGGTCTTCAGTCAAGAACTGCTGGCCCCCTGTTTTATGATCTCAGCTCTATCTCGTTCCTGGCTGTTGTCTCATTATTAATAATTATAAAATTACTTTACCCTCAGTCTGTAACATGGCATTCTGTTTCTGAGGAATCACAGTCATCAAAATTCTGTACACATAAATTGGAGTGATTTGATGCCAACTAGTTGAGGTTTGGTTTTGTTTTTATAATTTTTCACTCCAAAATGATATATATGTCTTTTTTCATTGAAGAATATTAAGAAGTTCCCTATTTAGCATATCTTTTGGAATAATAGGCCACCCTAGTTAAGAGTATAAAATTAAAATTATTTTTTTAGTTAGTTAACTTCAGTGTGAAATAAACAAGAAAAAGTTCCCCTTTGCTTCTGTGAAACTCCTTTTGTCCTTTAAATCTCTGATTAGCCTTTCTCAATCTTCATATGAAACAGCCCCTATTTATTCTCACGTTAGTAATCACACATCATGACTTTATATTCTGACAGCACTATATCCTGGCAGCTCTCAACTTGATAACTCTAAACCATCTACGTCTTTTTAGATGTCAGTTTAGGTACCCCACAAACATTTCTAATTCAACATACTTAAACCTCATCACTTTGCCACTGTTTTTCCTTCTTTTATTCCTGTCTCATTGAAAGCTATCCCAAATCTGAAAATCATCCCAGATCCTTCTACATCATCCACTTCAGTGAGTTATCAAGGTTCAACGTTACCATTTTACCCCTACCTTTTGGCAAGCACCTACCTACTCTCTTTGACTAAGCCTCTCTAACATCTCTTAAATTTTAAGAAGTTACTTATTTAGCTTATTTATTTATCTATTCCTTTTCACTTCTACTGCCAATGTTTGAGTCCTTTCCTCATATTCCATGTTCCCTTCAATTCTCTTCATTTCATCATATACTTATTGCCAGGTAATTTTCTTGTATAATTATTTTTCTTGAAACCCTGTGTCTGACTGGCTTTAAAAATCCTAATTTCAAATGACAATATTTTTGGTAGCAAACTGTTACTCTCATAAAGTATCCAATCTAATGTCATGCTATGAAATTTATAAAGTGAGAGCAAAGACATTTTACTAGAAGGGAAAATTGACTGCCATCTAGTCAATTATAGTTCATAGTGAACTCTCTACTGGGTTTCCAAAGCTGTAAATTTTTACAGAACACAGACTACATATCTCTCCTGAACAGATAATCTAGTCAAGCTGTTGACCTTTTGATTAGCAAATCCAGAATAGACATTTTACCTTGATCATAGCTAAAAAATTGCCATCTTTCTTACTTTATTATTGATTTTTAGTTCACGAAGAAATCCTTAAAAATGTGTCAAATTGTTTTCTTCTAGGGACCTCCAGGCATTGAGGGAGAATCTGGTGTACAAGGCGAGCCAGGAGCGAAGGTAACCTTTGTGGAGAAAATAAATCTAAAAGTTTCTCTTGGATTTCCCTAGTTTGTGGCAATCACCCAACAATACTATTTGGGCACAGGTAGAATATAGTAGATTTAAAAAGGGTAGTATTTTCAAGCCCCTGCAGTATGTTTTGTTTCAGTTGAAAATCATTTGATCTTTATATTCATTTTTTCAGGGAGATGTTGGTGCTATTGGCAACGTTGGAGAACTTGGGGAGCCTGGATTACGTGTAAGTGCCTACTTGAAACACACTTAATAATACACTGACTAAACTGTTCAAAGATTGACTTAATATTTGTTAGGATGAACACTTTAAAAATGAATAATAAAGACAATGTATATGAATTAAATGCATCAGTCAAGAGAAAAAGAGTAGCAGACTAGATAAGAAAATATGATTCAAAATGCTATCTAAAAGAGACATGCCTTGGACAAAAGTCAAAGATAGAATAAAAATAAAATGGTAGGAGGAAATTATTAAGCAAATGAGAATCAGAAAAGAACATGAGCAGCATTAAAAGTCTGATAAAAACGGACTTTAAGGCACAAACCAGCATAAGAGACAAGGAAAGACATTATATAATGATTAAAAATGAATAAAAAGGACATAATTTTAATTAATATTTATGTAAGCAATTATAGAACCACAAGTTACACAATCAAACTTAAACATATATGAAAAGAAATAGACAACTCCCCAAAAATAGGAGACTTCAGTATACCACTTACAATGAAGGAAAGAATGGATAGAAAGTAATTCAGCAAAGACACAAAAGAACTAAGTAATAAAATTAACTTGTTTAAACTCTTGGCTATATGGAACATTAGAGAGCAATACACATTCTTCTGTAGTGCACCAGAATATTGTCCAGAAGAGACCATATGTTAGGTTACAGAGCAAGCATCAATAAATTAAAATAATTGAAATACTACAAAACATCTTCTTAGACCACAGATTTATAAAAGTGGACGTCAGCAACAAAAAGTCAAGAGGGAAAAGTCAAATACATGGAAACTAAATAACATCTTGCTAGAACATTGCTAGGTAGCAGAAGAAATAAAAAAAGGAAATTTAAAATTTCTTACAATAAATAAGAATAGAAACACAACTTACCAAAATCTTTGGAACGCAGCAAAAGCATTACTCAGAGGTCAATTTATAGCAATAAATATACATATCAAAAAAAAAGAAGAAAGAATAAAAAAATATTAAGAAGGAAATTGTACTCAGAGCAATCTATAGATATTATGCAATCCTGATTCAAATCTTATTGTCATTCTTCAGAGATATGAAAAATAATCACCAACTTTTTACAGAAAGGACTAAATTCTCAGATAAGCAACTTACTACCGAAGAGGAAAAGCAAAGGAGGAGACATTACACTTTTGATTTCAAAATCTACTACACAGTCACAGTAATCAAAACATCTTGGTATTTATTTATACAGTGAAAGATACATAGATCAATGGAACAGAATTGAAAACCCAGAAGTAAATGGACAGCCAGTCTTTAACAATGAGATGAGATCCATTAAGTGAGGAAATGATAATCTCTTTAATAAATGATGCTGGGTAAACTAGTTATTTATTTGCATAAAATTGAAACAAGATCCATATTTCATGTCATATTTAAAAAAACAACCTTAAAATAGATAAAAGACAATAAAATATGTAAAAGTTAACACACAGATTCAACATAGTTGGCCATGGATAAACTAGATAAATGGAACCTAGTGAAAATTAAATGTTTATGTGCATCAAAAACTATCTCCAAAATTTGTAGAAAACTCCAGCATCCCTACATAAAAAAGACAACCCAGTTCCAAAATGGACAGAAGATATGAAAAGACACACAACCAAAGAAAATATTGAGATGGCCAGCATACACATGAAAAAAGTAATCAAGATCAGTAGTCATCAAAGAAATGCAAATCAAAACTCATTCCAACACCAACAGCAACGGTCAATAAAACATGAAAAAATAAATCATGGTGAGGGTGTGAAGAGATTACTATTCTCACATACTGCTGGTGGAAATGTAAAATGGTGCAATCACTAGGGAGTCAGTTTAGTATTTCCTTAAAAAGTTGAAAATAGAAATACTATTTGACTTAGCATACTAAGTATACGTCCTAAAGAACAGTAGCAAGGACATGGAAATTACCCATATGTTCATCAGTGCATTAATGGATAAAAAATGATGGTATATTCACAAAGAGGAGTTTTATGCAACACTGAAAAACAGTGATAAATTCATGAAACATTGCATAACATGAATGAATCTAAGGGCTATATGCTGAGTTAAATAAATCATTACAGAAGGAGAAGTATTACATAAGATCATTGTCATGAAAAGCTAAAGAAAGTTTTTATACACAGAATCATTGTAATATAGTTAACAGAGAGGAGAAGTGTAAAGAGGGGAGCAAAAATTTAAGTAATACATACTTATTACTATAAGTGAAAGGAAAGACAATAAATATAAAATAAATGGATGATAAGACATTGTGGGCCTTGTAATTAATGTTAAAAAAGAAAATGTGTATGAATGATTGAAACACCAACATACTTTGTAAACTTTTAATCAAAAACCACATTAAAAATGACAAAATACATGATAAATATTTTTATGCATTACAGGAACGTTTTATTTCATAATTCTGAATTATTTCATAATTCCAAATCCTTTTCTCACACATTCTGATAGCTTTTGGCAACCAAATTTCTTACATCATTCTCTAAAAGAAAATGTACTCCACAGGACCCATTCCAAATGTATGGTGTCACTGTATTTTTGCTAATTTCTTGGTAAGAAGAAATGCCCAACAACTGGTGAATCTAGGCTTCTGACATGAAAAGACTGACAAAAGATAGGCATCTTCTTAGGTTAAAAACCTAACAGGGTCATATAAAATTAACAAGATTGAAAGCAATAATTCTAAATAGTTGTTGTTATTAACATATTGGAAAATTTACACTAATGCAGAAAAGCTTTATTTTGCATGATAGTAAAGAATTTTCTCCCATAGTAACAGTATACAGGATAATTTTATGAAATATCTGTTTATTAAAAAGCAACATAGGATTATATATTTTATATATTCTTGTTCCCTTGTTCATTTTCTACTTTTGGAAAGTATTAATAATTGGGAGTGTCAGTAGTTGGAAAGATAAGGCAACTATCAAAAAGTACTGATCGATTTTTTTTTGTCTTCTTAATTATATTTTATTTTCTTATAAGGAAGGGATGCACCTACTCCCAAACTAAACGTAATACCTAGTCACATTTATTTAAAAAAATATTTTTTACAGAGTTTGAATACATTGTTTTTCACAAAAGATCCTTTCCATTTCCTTCACTTCACCCACCTATCAAATTGTATAACCCCATGATTAACACCCTACCCCCACTACCCATTCTCACCCCTCTATTTCCACCCTCCTCTCACCTTAGATACTCATACTCACTCTACAATAATGATTTTGTCCAGTATTTGTCCTTGTGGGACTGAGTTAGTTCACTCAGCATAATGCTCTCCAGTCCCTCTATTTTTTCAATTTGTATTTTATTTTATTAATTTTAATTAACATTTACAGAGATTTTGGATTTTATTCATTCATTGTTACACTTTTTTCTTTACCTCCTCCCCCCAGTTAGCTCCTCTCTTTGAAAAGCAAAAGATAAACTTCTTCGTTGGTATGCAATCCCCCCCACCCCGATCCCTCCCTGACCCCCATATACTCCACTATGCAACCTTAATTCTGGATTCCTGTGATAATCATAATATGCTATCATATATCACTTTTAAACTGTTCTCTCCTTCATCTGTTTCAATTCAGTGTACATAATCTATCCAATTTTTCTCAGTCTTACCCCAACACTGATGTCAATCACTTTCTACAACAGTGGCACCATACAGTATTTGTCCTTTTGTGACTGAGATATTTTACGCAGCATAATGTCCTCCAGGGTCCCCCATTTAGAATAATATTGCATGAGTCCCTTGTTTTTCAATGCAGCATTGTATTTCATTGTGTGAAAATACCACAGCATCTGTATCCATTTGTTTGTTGATGGACACTCAGGTTGTTTCCAACTCCTAGCTATTGTGAACAGTCCCTCTATTTTTAAATAATTCAAGTTGTAAAAGGATCAGCATAGCTTCCTATGGTATAGCTCTACATTTCTGTAAACTCTAAAAGACAGCTCGTTGGCATTAAAAAACTTTATTCTTTACCTATCCTCTTTGTAAAAGAGAGAACTAAAGAAACTGACTAAAGATTGAAATCTATGTTAAAACTTTTTAGAAATATTAATCTGGTAGACTGGGTATAACAGAATCAAGTAAATTAGCTCATACAATTCTCAATATAGTAACGTACTATAATTTTAATGGATGCAGTGTTTATAGTTAGTGTGACTGGAAATACAGATGAGGTTATAGACTGTTCTAAAGAAATTTTCTATTAATTTTAATATAAAAATATCTATTATCATTATGATACTCTCCTTAAATTATAACAGTTTGTCACCTTAAATCATGTGCAGAGCTATTTAAGACAAACTGAATCATGCCTTATTACACTAGCAAATAGCCCTTGAAAATAAAAAAGTAGGAATAAAAGTACTCAAATCTGCTACTTTTGCTAGATGCCAGGAGTTTAAAAAATAAATTAAATTTCAAATTGTGATAAACTATTTACCAAAATAATTAGTATTTCTACTACAAAATAGGGTGAACTAGGAGCTCCTGGAGAAGAAGGTCTCCAGGGAAGAGATGGATTAAAGGTAAATAAAACCATTAATTTTTGTATACTTGAATAAACAGATCTTTCAATAAGTGAAATCTTTAAAATATTAACTATTTGGGGGCACCAATTCACATACTCTGTGGTATAATTATTTCATTGTATCCTTTAAAGAAAAAACAATTTATCATTAAATTATAGGGAAGCCCAGGAGGAAGAGGACTTCCTGGGGAAGATGGAGAAAAAGGAGACATAGGCTTACTGGGGACTATTGGGCCAGTTGGAAGACCAGGACTAACGGGTCCTCCGGTGAGTAGAAAGTTCATTCTCAATATTCAGTGAACTTGATCCATATGTGCACAAGTACACAAAGAGTTGTGTTGGCAAAGAATATTAAATATGTCATGGAATTTTAAAAACCTAAACATCTACTTTGGAAGAAATGTAGTAAGGGTCACCAAGAGTCAGAATCAAGTCAATGAGAGTGGGTTTGGTTTACTTTGGTTTTCAAGCAAACTTGATAGAATAATAAACCAAGGCATTGATTATCAGAACTCCCAGGACCCAGAAAGAAGAGATGTTTTCTGTCATATAAATATCATATGACATTTCTGTCCTAAAATAGAACATATTTTATGTTGTAAAAGAATTTTTTGTAAGCTTTGTCATAGAGCTAACTTAATGTCCACAGAATAGGATCATAGGCTTCAGGGCAAAATAATATCTCTCTTGGAGGTTATCAATATCTGATTCCCAATTTGCACTTATTTCTAATAAGTCATATTGAAGATATATATTTTTTTACTTCAGACCAAATATAAGATTTGAGTAAATAATGAGAAATAATTACTTCACCTATGCTATTTGTTGTATTCTTTCAAATCAGGCTTTTCTGGTCATCTTAATCTTTCACTTTTCAATTCAGTTATCCTTGTTTCATTTTCTTTAAAATGCATATATCCCAGCTTTATTATCTCTGGATTTTTCTAAATAATCTTGCCTCTATCTTTCTATTTTGATAGTTACTTTTCTTTTTCTTCTGTTGGTTTCATTCCGTATTTTCAATCTCTTAAGTAAATCTTTTCCCCCAGAAGATCATACTGCTTTAAAAGCAGGGACTCTCTTCTTATTATTTTCAATACAAAACAATGTTCAGGTTCTTTGCTCCATTGTTTTCACAAAGGCTCAGTGAGGATGAGGTAACTGCTATGGAATAATCTATCCTTGAAGGGGTGAGAGACAAAGCAATGATTTAAAGATTTGTGATCTCCACACTATCTAATATATTTCTCTTCCCCTGTTTATGAATCTCCAAATGACTGAATATCCTTTCAGTAATAACCCCTTCCTTAATCAATTTAATTAATTTTACCAGGACTAAGAGCCAGGCCCTTTCTTAAATAGACTATAACTAATATCATAAGTGACACACAAACTGGCCATCTCACCATCCTTTCTCATGATTAACTAATAAAAAGTATCCATTTTCCTCTGTTTCCTCTGTCCTGACCCTCCTAATTCTAAAAAAATGTGGCAGGATTTTCACTGTAACAAATACAAAGCATTAGGAAACTACTTAAGTATCATATTCAGACACTGAGAAATATAAAGTTATGTTCACATACACTATTCCGTGGAAGGGACATCGTACCAGGAAAGGTGAAAGATCAGTGAAGGAGAGGGAGACTTTCAACAAGATGAATTGCCATGGTGACAGCAGCATTGGGTTCAAGTGTGTCAGAGATGAAGAGGACAGCACAAGAAAGGATAAGATTCAGATCTGTTGTTTATGGGGTGGCTATGAGTCATACTCAACTCGATGACACCTAACATCAACAACATATTCTCTCGTTTAATCTTCCCAATAACAGCAGATGTTCTAATGCCCATTTGACAACTCAAAAAGCTCAACACGTAGAGAACTAAGAGGCTGATACAAGTTAGCAGATGACAGCACTGATGCTAGACCCCTTGTTATTTGACCTTGGTGTTTCTAAGTCACACTTAACTAGTGAGGTACTTGGCCTTGGTTTTCTGTTTTGCCTTCCTGTGGTAGCTTCCATCCATTTCAGTGCATTCATTTTTTCTTTACTGGCATCAAGCTTTGACTCTCAGATAAAAGAGTAGATACTGTCTTAAGAATTCTTAACAAGTATATTTTTATTTAAGAAAATCATTACCATTATTAAAATTTCAGTATGTTTTGGTTTGGGTGTGTGTGTGTGTTTTTTTTTAACTTGTTGTGTGCTGTCAAGTCAGATCTGATTGTCACAGGAAGAGATTGTCCCTCCTTCTCCACCAGAGTATCTGGTGGATTCGAACCACACGTCTTTTGGGTTACAACACTACTTCTTGCCACTAGGCCACCAGAGCTCCCCTCAGCAGCTTTTTTTTCAAAAAGTACATTAATTTAACTCTCTAGAAGACCCCCAAAGTTTGTGGAGAGGGAGAAGACGGATTAAGAATACTCTACATCATACTGGAAAACAACAGAACTAGGAATCCAAGAGAAGAATAATGCAGCAAGATCACTAGTGGCAAGCAGAGCAGAGATGGAAGAGGAGCTCAGAACAAGGCATGGAAAAATGATAAATGCAGATTTCATCTCTTTCATAATCTCTCCCAGGAACAATCCTGACTAGTACACATCTTTGGTGCCTTTTTTAGTAACAACACATGTGTGTTTCTTTTTTATTCTTCTTGTTGTTGTTCTTGGAATTTTAAATGCCTTTCAGCTCATAAACTCAATAAAAATACCATGTTATGTTTTTCAAAAGAATTTTATGATCCAAGGAACTATTGCTTAATCAGACAGCTTGATGTTGGTTTTATTTTTGCACTTTTAAATATTTTTCCTGAGGCGGAGTGTCACAGAGGTCTTACCTTGGATTCTTTAAAAAATGTAAAGAAATGGAGCAAAATCTGTTTTTTCTTAACAAGCAATATTCTTTTAAATGTCAAGAAAATTAATGGGCATAGGATCTCAATTTTCAAATAACAGAACATATTTTAAAATAATATATGTTGTTATTGTGTACTGTAGAGTCAGAACGGACCCATGCATAGCTGATCCTCCACTGGGTTTTCAGAAGCAGTAAACTGCACAAGAGTTGCACATCTTCTATTGAGTGACTGGTGGATATCAACCACATACTTTTGGGATGACAACACTATTCCTTACCATTTCACCACCAGACTCATAGACAGAAATAATAAAGAGGAAGAGAAATTAGTTCATGGAAATGACTCACATGCTAGACAAAAGGCACAGTAACTTACTTACATAGGCTAATGAATCCAAGATCAATAGGGCAGATGTCAGACTTCTGGCTTTGGAGGGTGAGGAATCCAAGATGGGCTGGCATTATACCAAAGAGTCAAAGATCAGAGGGTAATGAAGGCCACAACTCCAGGTAAACTCCCTTTCAATGGACCCCTTATAGCAGATGAAAGTGATTACATTTGTGACATCTCATCAAGGGAAGGCTCTGTCATTACTGTTAAACCAACAAGTCATGAAAAGCCAATCTCATCAATATAGTCTTAACCATCATTCTGAATATAGTCTAGCGCCCATTTTTTTTGCATTTTCATATTTCATAATGTTTTATATAACTACTGTTTATCAATGCCCGTGAGCATCCCATCTCATCAAATCCCTGTTGCACCTTGCATATTCTTTCAACTCCCACCACCGCACCTCGAGTCTGTCTGCTAATTTCTTTTTAAAAAACTACCCCGGTGGTAGCATAATGGCAAAGGGATTGGATGCTTATCAAAAGACTGGGAGTTCAAACCTTCTAACTGCTCTTTAGGAAAAAGCAATGGCCATTTGCTTCTATAAAGATCTCAGACTAGAAACCCTTTTGAGGCAATTTTTCTTTGTCCTATAGAATCATTATGCATTATAATCAACTCAATATCAGTGTGTTTGTTAAAAATCTTAAAATCTAAACAGATCTAGAGGTACAAATGTCAAAGTCAAATGTAAAAAATGAAGGTGTTTCATTTTATTCCTTTAGGTTGAAATTTGATCATATTTAAGTAAATGTGGGTTTTCCAATCTGGTCAGGTTAGTATGAAATGAAGCAGAAGTTCATATCTTAAGATAAAATGAAGTAAAATATAGCCGTACTATCTGGGATGCCTCCTAGTAGAAACATAAAAGTCAAGTCATGGAGATGAGAGGAACTTCATTATTATAAAAGAATGCTAAAGAATGCATTGGTTTCTCTCATCTCTGAAAAGCTAGAAATTTGAATGCTGAAAAATAATAATCTGGGGAATGTAGAGCGAGTGGCAAATGTTAATTAGAAAATATTTATTCAGAATACAATAATTAGACTTGTTCTTTTACTCTAGGATTAAGATTGAACTATTCTGAGCTACTGTGTCATAAAACAACACAAAATAAAGAGAGCATTAGACTGACTACTGTGCAACCCTTTTACACTCTTGCTTGTCACTAAAGAAAGAAAACTAAACAACTCTTTTTGATTGTGTTGGAATCGACTCACAACTGACCGTGCAGCAGCTTTCTGATGCTCTAAGTCATATGTGAAGAGATTGCCCATCTTTGCCCCTCAGAGCTGCTGTTGGATTTGAGCTACCAGAGAAGTGAGACCTTTAGGTTAGCAGCATAACACACTACAAGATACACTCCCACGTCTGTACATTTTTAGGCAAGAACTTCATTGATTTAATTTTTTTAGCTTATACATGATGCATACATTATAAATGAGTTAGAGAGGCATAGAACCTTACAAGATGGTTGTGTCAAAAGGGACCCTGAGTTACAGGAATCTGCTCCTTCTATTCTTAACTTTAGGGGCAAAGTCCTTTGTATATGTTTAACATGTTAGCTTCTGTCTAGTTCCTTTGGAAGAAAAGGTTCTCTAGCTTTAAAGAGGTGGGGGAAGGAACATTATTTTGGATTTTTCTAATTTTTCATTCAGACTTACAGACTAATATTATAAGATGTTATTAGTTCATTTATTCATTTAAAAAAAGGTAAAGATTGCAGCCTTAAATGTGGATTGAAGCTCAACATCAATAAAACAAAGATTCTCACCACTAGGCCAATTGGCAGTATTATGACAGATGGTGAAGAGATTGACCTAACAGCGTCAGTTTGCTTGGGTCCACAGTCAACACTCTTGGTACCAGCAGCCAGGAAAGTAAAAGACAAATTGCATTGGGAAAGTCAACTGTGAGAGACCTCTCCAAAGTACTAAACAGCAATGACATCAGTCTGTAGACTAAGGTGCACTTGACCCAAACCATAACCTTTGCCTATTCCCTTGATGTCT